AAATTTATATATATTTTTCAATTTTCAGTAAATATATTTTTCAATGAAAATAAAAAAATTGTTTTTCCAGCTCATCCTTGGTGATACTATGACAATTTCCCAACCAACAATATCTAGAATAATTTTTCGCGTGTTTTACTTGCAAGCTTGTTTAATGATTACATAAAAATGCCACAAACTCAAGAAGATATATTAGAAAATCAGAGGCTTTTTAAAAACCTAGGATTTGGTAAGGGAGCTATTGGAATAGCTGGTGTTGATGGAGCAATTGATTGTACTCATATACGATTAGTTCATACAAGATTTCAAAATGTCGATGAAATATACAGAAATCGGAAAGGTTATTTTTCTCTCAATATACAGATTCATATGAAATTTTTTTTTCAACATTAAATCCTTAAGATAGATGAATTCAAAAATTTTTAATTAAAAAATATCTTATAGACAGTTATTGGTCCACGAATGGAATTTTTAGATATTGTGCCAGAATGGCCTGGCAGTGCTCATGATAGTAGAATTTTTCAAAATTCTCGAATTTACACGAGATATTTAGAACATCAACTAAATGGAATATTAATTGATGATGCTGGATATCCATGTCTACCGTCCTTAATGACACCAATCAATAACCCAGTAACGAACGAAGAAATCACGTCAGTAATTATAGCTGTTATTTATTTTTAAATAGATTCAAAATTCATACATTTTCTTAATAGATTCATTTTTTTATTAAATTTTCATTCCACAGCGTAAGACTATTAATAATTCATTAATTTTTCGTTGCTTGATACAGGTATAATAACATTCAGAGTAGGACACGAAACATAGTGAAAAGAACTTATGGTGTAAGGAAACGACGATTTCCTTGTTTATCAAGAGGATTAACAACCAAACTTCTTTGTTCAACCACAATTGTTGTAGCCTATGCTGTATTACATAATATGTCGTTAAGATTTAATGGTAATTTACCAGACGATGATTCAGATGAAGAACAAGATGAAGACGTACATGTACTTGAACCAAATTGGCAATCTGCTGACGGTTTTGCATTTCGTGAAGCATTAATTGAGCGTATGTTTAATGCATAAAAATTATAAATCTATTTTTATTTTATTACATAATTTTTTCTACTTTTTCAAAAGCAGACATAATGAAATCATTTGTAATTGTTAATAGTAATGAAAAATTATTCTATAAAGAATTCGTACATATAATTTTGAATTGAAATATAATTTTTTTTTATTGAACGTAACTTTTAATGATCTGCAATTGTATATTTAAATGATAAATTTGTAAAATAATGTATAATATTTGGAATACAATTATGAAAAAAAAAATTGTAAAACATTGGAAAAATATTTTTGTATTTTATTATATGCGATTCTGGTATTATAATGTATTCATTNAACAGTACAATTGTGTATTTGATTGAATTTTGCAGTAGAATATAAAAAGATGATGAAAATATTATTTATCTTGTACAAATATTTTTTAATGGAACCATTACTTTTTTATAATATGACAATACAAATTTGATCATTAACGACTATATTGCTTTTGTATTTATTCTTTTTTATATAAATTAAATGCATGTAGTATTTTCTTAAAATTTTTAAGATGAATAACATAAAAAATATTCGTTCTTCAAAATTAGAACGCGTTTGATGAAAAAATYTTGTAAATTGTGTATCAATATAGAAATATTTAAAATTTGATCAATAACAATGGTTACTTCGCATGCCCAGAATTAGCACTTTAACGCCATCTATATTCGTATATATGGTACAAGTTCAAATAAACTATAATTTAATTAAAAGATTTACGTTTCTTTCATATATTTCATATTAAGCTAATATTATTYAAGTTGTAATTATTAAATTACATTATTTAATATGTAATAATACTATTACCAATAATTATAGTAACACTCTATTTCTTTCTTAATTAYTTTTTACAATATTTTGATACGTTTGTCCATTTCTCTTACATATTACAATAAAGTGGTAGGGGGGAAGAGGGTAGTGGTAGGGGGTAGGGGGGTAGTGGTGGTGCTGCACCTTTCCAAAATTTGTTGACTAAAAAAAAAAAAAGGTCATCAAATCTTGGAAATTGCAAATTGGATTGTACACCACGAATTTTGGATCGTACAGGGCCTCAAATTATCGTACGAAGACATATTTTTGGTAAACATGTTGATAATTATATGAAAATTTTGAAAGAAGATGAAACTTATAAAAAACAGTTTTCTCAATATATCTAATATCATATATAAATCTAATAATAACACCAGAATCGCTGGTGAGGAGGCAGGAGGTCAAGCCATCGAATTCGGATGACRTCATCGCCGACGCAAAATTATCGCTATMCGAAAGAAAGAATCGAGTAGCACARAAAAAAGCATCTTTCCTCAAAATTTTWGAAGAACAAGATSATGAAACTTATAAAAAACAGTTTTCTCAATATCAKGGTTTCCCCTGACTTYGTCCTGAYCAGGCATAGTGCACAATYTTTCGGGTACCAACGTGTACGCTCTKGGTGCGCCTCTTCTCGCAATGAGAACGAGACGMMCCGTCAGTGCGGAGCCGCRCATAAACGCGRCCCATCYTCCCTCGGTCGACCTTAGTACGACCTTCACTTTCATTGCGCCTTTAGGTTTTGCAGTCCCAATTACTCGCGCACATGTTAGACTCCTTGGTCCGTGTATATAAAAGATAAGGAAGAAAGAACCTGTAAAGAGGAGGTGGAACCGTGCAAAAGTATCGCTATCTGAAAGAAAGAATCGGGTGGCACAGAAAAAAGAATCTTTCCTCAAAACATTGAGGAAGGAAAAAATGGAAGCCTAAAAGGCTTATTATTATTGTTACACCTCCCCCATACACGGTTAAGTACTAGATTACGGAAAAGTTATTAGGCTAGTAACTTTTTATTTATATTTTTTGGGTAGGCGCCATGGGTGGAAAAAATAAACACAAGCGTTTGTACTTAATAAGTTTGCTTATGCAGCCATTCAGAGAACTACATAGAAAAAGGCAAAATATGTGTAAGGTGAAATGCAAGTTAACATTTAGCACGACCGAACAGGAACTGCGTAGAAGATATATATGCTTAATGCGGCGGCCGTAACAAGAAGGAGGGTAACACCTTCGTATTCGCACCGTGACGCTATCGGCACCTCGATGRACTGGTCACGAACCCACCCGAAGAAACGCGCGGTCTCGTTTTGAAACGCTTCTGTTGTGACGTCCGATTCTCGTCGCGACGCAATAGAGTAGAATACATTTGTACAAAGTTTTAAACTTACTTGTAGTATTATTTTTGAAATTATATTTTTTTATAGACTAACGTATTCAAGAATTAAAGAAAATAAAATTGAATATGTTGCATATGGTCATGAACTCGGATTTTTTCCTTCTGGCCCTGTGTGGAAATTTTCACTTTTTTTTCTATACGGAAGCACGTAAAATGGCAAATTTAAATAATCCTATTACTTTCTCCTTGAAAACCACAGTTTCGATACAACATTTTCACCTTCTTCTTAAATAAGAGGGTCATATTAAAGATTTTTTATATTAAATAATACTATTTTTTATATATTTTACAACTTGATCATTTATTTTAAGTTTCTGTACATACAATATTTGCTTATATATTACATTTTAACAAAAGAGTACAAACGTTTTAATAAACCATACATACTTATTTTAACGCTAGGATTTTTTTTTTTTTTTATTTCGACACGAGTCGCTTTCATAGTGTGCCACTCCGGCGTGCCCGCCAACTTCGGTTACACTCGACTTCTTTCGACATCCCGAACACACGGACATGGATAACTTTCATTGTGTGCAATCCCAGTGGCACAGGGAGAGGGTAAGATTTACCCACGATCTGGCAGCACAGGAATAGATACCAGGAGTCCAAACGTAATGTTAAAAGAATGGTATCAATTTATGGGACAAGATATTTTGCCGGTAGGGCGCGCTGCTTTTCACAGAGTACTCGTTTAAATATTTATGCGGGAAGTTTTGTTATTGACAGTTCTGAAAAATAATATTTTGAGAAACGTGGAATTAAATAAAAGTTTAAGGAAATTTTTAGAAACCTCAAACGTTTTCAACTCAGCAATATCGAGAAGTTCAAGAGATAATCTGCAAAGTTAAAAACATCTGATATTAATAAATCATAATACAAAAATCTGTAGGCACCAAACCATTTTGTTTAAAAAAATAGATTTATGCGAAGAAAAATTTTAAGAAATTGAGTTTATAGTTCATTTTTAACCTTTCCATGTAAAACTATTAAAAATTGTCTCTATGAAAATTTACTAGAAAAAATATTCTTAAAAATTGTCAAATGCCTATTTATTTAAGTATCACGATAAATATACTTGAAAAAAAAAAATAAATAAGTTATTGTCAAACATATTATTTATTAATAGTACAAATAAAACATATTTAATATTTACAAACCAAATTGTTATAGTTTTAAGAGTATCCGGAATATTGCTTTCGTAATCGAGAATTTTAAATTATTTTTTAAATTAGAGTGATTAATTTTTTTATTGATGTTAAATATGAGTTAAAATAATTTCGAATTTTTTCGAGATTTTTTAGATTTAATTTTTCTCTCCGTAGAACTTTTATTAAAACATTTGACAAGAAAATGCCCCCGCATTATTGAAAAATTGTTAATAATTTTTTTTGTTAATTCTTTCATATGCTCATCACAGCCAACAAAAATCGAGATATTCCTTTTAGAAACATCATCTAATATTTCAAATATTGTGTCAATCTTCACTGTTTTTGTACCAACCACCATTAACACAACTTCTCTTCTAAGCTTTTAATTAAATTAAATAACTGTTCACTTGGGTAAATCAATGCTCCTTTATCCATAAATTCAATAAATTTGTCACAAGCCTTCACTTCTCTTGACTGCATAGACTCCATGCAATCAAAGCATTTGGTAAACCGACCCACTTTACGGGCTACATATCCCGCAATATACGAAAGGACATAGTTGCTAGTTTGAGCAATGTCATAGTCATGTTCATATCTGGGGTCCATCGAGTTCAAAGACACTCCATTATTATTATTATCATCATCCTCATGATCACTTTTACTATGATCAGTATTATCACAGTCGTTATTAATATTATTGTTTAAATAATAATAATTATTATTATTATTATTATTATCATCATTATTAGAACCAGTATGACTAGAATTTGTATTTGCCTCTGTATTACTAATATTCACAGATGCATTTTCAATAATGCAATCAATTTTTCTATTCCAATTTTCTTTATTAACATTACTCGCTTTAAACGAATCTCTAATCAGCATTAATGATCCTAGTAATTCTCTCGCAGTCACATTGGATCCTTTTGGAGGTGTTGCCAAAGAATAGGAACAGAGCAACCGGAAAACTTGTGAGAATAAAATAGGGTCAGGATGATCATTGGACCCACATGCACTTCTAGCAATCCCAAAAAATTTCTAAAATTATATGATTGCGTTATTGACTGATTAAAAAACCATACGATAAAAATGATGAAGACATAGTTTCTTAACAGCTAAATTACCTACATTAACGAAAAAAGCTTAAAAACTCACTTCTAGCATATCTTGTGTTAATCTTGATGTCATCAAATACTGATAATTGCAGTGATTATGTAAAAAATCCATCAATTCTAAAGTAGATCCCAAAGAAATTTTTAATCCAGTCAAGGTACTAGCTGCAATAGCCAAATAGAAGGTTTTATACTTTTCCGCATTGACGGAGTCACCCTTATTTTTCCTTTGTTTAATTTGTGCAATTTTGTCTTTAGCGGTCGTTTCCCAATTCCTTATAAAAGTATTAAACTCAATAATAGCCTATCAAAAAATAATAAGAAAGTCATTTATAAATAAAAATATATGAAGTTAGTATTCTAAGAATTATGAGGAGAAGTTAAGGAGAGGAGAGGGAAGTGAGCTGGCGAGAGAGTGTTGGAAGGAGGCGCAGGAGAGAGAAAGGGAGATAGAAGTACGGAAATCAAAGTGGGAAGTAGAGAGGATGAAGTTCAAAGAGAGGATAGCGCAGGACGGGGTGGARGTGGTGGAAAGGTGGGAKGAGATTGAGAGGGAGGAAAGAAGGCGACAGGAGGTGGAGAGATGGGAGAAGATATTGGAGTCGAGATACAACATGTGGTACAAGACGGTGGTTGCGGARGGTTTGCCAGGATATTGGGTAGGAAAGTGGAGTGAAGAGAGAAAAAGAAGAGTGGCGAGATTYAGATTGGGGAATGAGATGAGGGAAGGGAGATACTGGGAAGAGGAGGAGAAGAAAAAATGTAGGGTGTGTGGTTGGGAGAGAGAGACATGGGAGCACGTGTTGGAGGGCTGCAGTAGAGCGGTCGTGGAGGAGGACGGGAGAGGAKTGGAAGAGAGGATCAAGGAAATTTTGGATGAGAGTGGAATGGGGGAGGAGTGGATGAAGAGGATTGGGAGCATGAGAGAGAAGAAGGAGAGGCAAGGAGGGGAAGAAGGGAGGAAGAAGTGGAGGTTTGGAACGGGTGAAGGGGGAGAGGAAGAAGAGGAAGTGAGGGAGAGGGTAGTGTTAAGTTAGGTTAAGGAGACAATTGTTAAAGAAGTGCAACCCTTCGGGGACGCAGTAAATAAATATCTATCTATCTATCTAGTATTCTAAGAATGAAATAGTGTAAATAATAATTTTACAATTGATAAGAACATACCTTCTTCGAAACATTATCATCATTAGGTCTTAAAGAATCTACCGGAGTTCTAGACAGTATAGCTTTGATTAATTTGTTTACTCTTTCAATAAAGGTAATGGTACTATCGCAGTCAGCTAGTTCAGAACAGTCAGGTTCATCTTTCAATACTTTCATAGCATTTAACACGGACTCAGAAAATAGCTATAAGTAATTTATTTAAAAAATTGTGTTATCTAAGTTAGTGTAGAAAGTACTTAATTTCAAAATCATGTATTAGTCATTCACACATATACCTCTATAGCTAACGGAAAATTCATCTTTTGGTAGCCTTCGGGTTTAATGTGATGAGGAGTCAATTTATAAGCCATTTTGAGATTAGCTTTTAAATAATTTTCGTGTTTTAAAAGAGCATTCCAATGTTTTCTTTTAACAATTCCATCCGGAGTCTGTAAGTAATAGTATAAAAGTAACTCTAGTTAATTGACATTATAATATATTAAAATCAGCAATTTTAATTTATTACCCAAAATGCTGATTGTTCCATAATTTTTGTTCGAAAATTTTTTAATAAGTGAGGGAAATCCGAAAAAAACCAAAGACGTCTAGAAAAATTATATGGGTGCTCACAACTATAGTTGCCATCCTGTATACCGAGCAATTTCCACACACCGCGATTCCATTGTGCTGCATCTGATACAATACCGTCAAGATAGAAACCAGCTTTCTCGAACAGAATAATACATTCTATAAGTAGTTTCTGTAGAATTTCACTTGTCACTGAATCTTTGCTCAAAAATAAACCAACAACTTGCACCCACTTGCCCTGAAAGGGTTGGAACATAAAAACCAACGCGTGGTCAGCTCGACTGTGTCTTAAATGGTCAGGTGTATATTCACCAAGATCTACAAAACCTTCCAATAGTAATGTTTTACGGTTCAATGCAATTCCTTCGCTAAGTGCTATCTCGTCAACTGATAATATACCTTGAGAATTAATTTTAATGTTCAATTAACATAGAATAAAATGAAATAGATAAAAAGCGTGTCCAATTCTAATAAAGTTAAAGCGACTTCTAAGAGAATGTTAATCATATAATAAAGCTGTAAAATATCAAGTTCTAAGCTGCTAAATATTAAATTATTCATTAAATCAATAATGTTTTGGTTATTTGTTATAAATTTGTGTTAGTCTAAGCGTACTTGAAATTGTTAGTTAACTAGCCAGCAGCAAGAAGTGTATATTGAAGCACCCCTTTTTTTATAAACTTCCATATAGGAATTTTTGAGTTTGAGTGTATCAAAAGTCCCCTTAGGAAACCCAAGAGCGCTATCGAGTTTTTGTATGTATCTCATTAAAGTGTCTTTACATGGTAAAGGTAGAATTTTTTTTTTCTAATGTGTTCATACAGTGAACTACTTTTAATGTTTATTAAAAGACATTCATACACCCATTCTACAGAATACCGTTGCGTTGTTAGCACTCTTAGCTTTTGCAGCAAATAAACAATTTCGAACTGTTTGTTGTTGCAAAACAGGTAAATCGGCAATTTTCTCAGATAATACTTCTTCTTCAATTTCAGCACATTGATTTTTTAAATTTAATAATTCTTGCCTTAAACTTGTATTCTAAACAAGAAATTTTCAAAATTTTTCAAAAAATAAATACGAACATATAGAAATGATCATGCCTATGTCAAACGTTGAAAATAAAAATATTTCATCAGATGTTATTATACAGAGTGACTCGGAAACTACAAAGTACAGAAAAATTCATTTTCCGGTTACTTCAACTCTTTAAAACTTTACCTGATGAACAACTCGATTGAGCTTTCTGCGCTCTAAAATTAAGCGATGTTTGATATTAATCCATCGGGCTTCATAATCAGATGTATTATTCTTACGCCTTTGTATCAAACGCCTCAATTTTCGGCAATTAATGCACCTGTGCTCCTCCACTTCTTTTTTATACGTTTCATCTGCTAATAATACACCAGTACAACTCAGCGAACATCTATGCAAATAAAAAACAGAGTTTCAATAACATTTATAATATAGTACTTGAGATTTTAATTACTAGTGATAGCATTTATTATTATAAATTAATGTATCTAGATTCATAGTAACTTCTTGTCATTGTATCCAGTTCCACTGCAGAAAAAGCTGTTTTCTAAAGAGCTTAATAATTGCCAAACACAATCAATTGATGAAATATTTACAACCATATCAATAAGGAGATTCGTTTTGGCATTTACGATCTGTAACGTAAAAACAATTTTCTGATACCATCCAAATAATTATTTCCAGTTAAGCTTTTTACCGTAACTTTCAGATCTTTATCAATTTTTACGTGACAAACTAATTCCAATTTCAAATTTATATATGATAATGAAATATATGAATCTTTAATGACTGTCCAACTCCAATTTTTACGTAATGGTTGAGCTTCTAAAATTTTTTCTATGGAATATAAAGAAAACTCTTCGGGCTCATTTATGATTAGCAAATTATCACTATTAATCACATTATTTGTACTATCAGGAAGATTTGCGTTTGTAGAATTTTTATTATCAGGCTCAATTACTTCGTTTACATCATCTGATAATAAGCTGTAATTATTTACATTGTTATTAGCATTGTTAGGAGCATTAGATTTTGGTATAGTATTCTTCTTTAAATGAACTCTCTCGTATTCATATACATATATACTGCCATCTTTTAGAACCTCTTTATTAGTTTTAATCACATCTTCTGAATTAAAATGCAATTCGCAAATGAAACTGGTAATTTTTAATTCTTTACCCAGAGCAGAGCTCCATTTACTGAGCATTTCAACATTCTTTAGAAAAAAAATAAAACTTATTACTTCTATATTACACACAAAAAATAAAAATATAACATTTTTCAAATATTATTTAAAAACTACACAAATGTAATAATCAATTATTTGTTAATAAATTTGTTATAAAATTTTTAATATTATCTTGAGATTACTCACTTTTRGTGCTTTGAATAAAGCCACTTTTCCTAAATTCTCCCCT